ACCACGGCGCTGCTCTACAGCCGTGACGCCTTCCTGTCACCACGGCACTCCTCTGCAGCCGTGACGCCTTCCTGTCACCACGGCACTCCTCTGCAGCCGTGACGCCTTGGTGATGCGAGGACACCCGTCAGGGTTGGGGGGGTACACAGAACCGTTTGTGCGTCCTCTCAAGTTCAGGTCAATCACTTCCAGCCGTCCCAGAAGTTGTTTCCAAATGAATGACACCCCCATCTTACCGGCACTGCACCATCCCTGTATTGCAAACCCACACGCATGTTGCCATGTGACCTTACTGTTGCCCAGGGGACCCCGCGGCCGGCGCCCGCTCACCGAGCAGCCTGCGTCAGGCAGAAGCGTCAGCTGGCCTTCAGCAGAGCCACCACCACCAGCTTCCCCAGGTGATCCTGCATGGGAGCCTGGCCCTCCACCTGCCACCGTGGAGGGGGGCTGCAAATCCGCGAAGAGTCCCTGTCCCCCTCCAGGAAGAGCGAAGAGGCACTGAGCAGCCCAGGCAGGAGCCACAGTGACAGAGTCCTGGGAGCCCACATGGTGACGGAGACCTCTGACCTGGAAGAGAGAGGCGGGAGGACGGCGGGCCAAGGCCAGAGCCCCCCCATACTCTGTATGACAGATTCAATTTAATTGATTTTTTTTCTCAAATAGTGCCTTTCACAACAGAGTCGCCCTAATATGCTTTACATGGGCGTGTTGTGATACCTTACAAGATCATTAACACAGAATAATACAAAAACAGTCACTAAATGCAGCACATGGGACCCCCCCTGGGAAAAGGCACCCTGAGCATTAGGACCAGGGCAGACTGGAAGCCAACAGAGTAACGGCTGCTTCACCTACCTGGCTGAGCGTCGCTCTCTGCTTCTCCCCGCTAGTGATCCCACAGGCCTCTCGGTGTGACTTTAAGGACTCTCCCCGCCTACACAGCCCCCTCCCCCTCACACTGACCCTGTCAGCTGGTTGAGGGGGCTCCCTGTGAGGGGGGTGGCTCAGCCATTACACAGTGAAATCTTCATTACACACATTAGCATTTGTACGGAGTGGTAAAGGCGGCCTGACAGAGGCCACACCGACCCGCAGCACTGTAAAGAAAAGGCAGAATCCAGCTTTTGTCAGAAGCCCAATGAATAGCAGTAAAATGACCTCAGAAAGGCTCTGCTGTGGGTCTGTCTGCCTGCTCCTTGACTCTACAATGAGGCAATGAATCACAAAGGAGAAAAGTCATGTTGGAATGCTAATGACCAAGATGAAGGCAGAGTCAGGGAGGAACCGGGCATATCAGAATACGGAGAACACGGAGAAGAAAGCTGGACCCCTAAGTGAGGAGACAAAAAGGGACACCAAAACAGGGGGACGAGGCAGGACACCTAAGCGAGACACTAAAGTGGGCAGACAAAGCAGCGCGACAAAAGGGGGGGGCAAGCCAGGACACCAAAACAGGACACTGAACAGGGGAAAGAAAGTGAGTGGACAAGTCAGAACACCAAAGCCAGGCCGGGGGACAAGCCAGGAGACCAAAGCGGGACACCAGGCCGGGGGACAAGCCAGGACACCAAAGCTGGACACTAAGCATGGGGACAAGGCAGGACCCATAGCAGAACTGAGCCGGGGGGACAAAGTGGGACACCTCACTGACAGTAACAGGAACATCTTGTTTCAATTCTGAAAGAAGCTTCTCGTTGGGGCAAACAGCCTGAGCTGAACAAGCTCCAGATTTCTCAATCACAGGGTGGACCCAGTGGCCAAAATTGCAACATACCCTGGTTGTGTGTGAACAAGTGAAGGGGGGGGGTCCTTGTATGATGGGGGTAAACAGCAACACAGCCCCCGACATGGCCCTGCAGAGCTGCCCCACACGTGAGTGATGCTCCCTGGGGATCCCAGTGAAGGACCAGGAGTGATGTATCAGTCTGAGTTCCTCACATGTCCCCGCATAAGTCACCGGCAACAGGAAGAAGACCCCCCCCCAACACACAAACACCTCTAGCATTCTGTATTTTCCCATTAAAATAACTGCCAGTTATTACTCTGCCCATTCGTAGGGTCACTGCCATGTGGAGGCACTCGCAGGAAGTGGGAAGCCCTCTGGACCAAGAACAGCAGCCTTTTTACTCTCTCTGTTTACAGTGAAACTTTTGTTTGTTCCTGTGGCCAACAAAATCGATCAGTAACCATTTGGAAACATACATCACACACAGATTTGTTAAGTTGTTTTTTTAAAACCTCATTTCCATGCTTGTCAGGTATGACACATTTCACATATGGAAACGATGATCATCACTACAGACTCAGTCCCAAACAAACACACTGGCTCTCCAAACGTCACTGTGAGGCGTACCTCTCCCTCCCTGGTCTCCCTGATACTCAGGGATCTTACAACATCACTGGATCTTTCTGGCTTCCTGGTTAGGCATTGAGGAACAAAGCCCAATAATGACCAGGATCTCACCCACCCAGCATGTTAGTGGGAGGAGGAACTGTTGCTTTATTGCACAATCATCAGAGGTTTTATTGGCCAAAAGGTGGGTCTATGCCCGGATAACAGCAAATCCTATTTAGTCAGGGAGACAGTGGGCGGGGTCAGAGGCACCCCCATTGTCATGCTCACTCTTCAGACATGCATGAAGCCTTCCCAGCAGCTCAGATGCAGCCTAGATGACCTTCCGCATCTCACAGCACTGGTCTGTGGTGCTTGGTGGCTGGAACGTGGAACCCATAAATTTAAGGGTGCACATTACAGAACTGAAGCTTCAGTAAAGCGAGGAGCAGATCGATGGCACGGGGTCCATCTGTTCTTCACGTTCCTGCCTAACAAAGTCCGGCTGCGTGCAAATTCAATACCTGCTGGCGGGAAGCAGCTGCCTGTGGATTGAGTTAGGGCCAGCTGGTCAGTGACCAGGGTGAAGATTAGGGGACACGTGCAGCAACGGGACAGGCTCATCTCTGAATGACAACACAGTGCCTGACTGCATCTAGCACAGCAATAAAATAATGACTGCATACAGACACAGATCCAGAACCTGAGCATTGCTGAATTAAATCCAGTTGGCATTTCAAAGTTAGTCGGCCTCTGGCTCGATGGCATAAAGATACAGCAGCCTCCCTGGGGGGGGGGGCTGGACCCTGTCTGTACCCCCCAATCTCCCATCTGGCCCTGCTTCTGCGTGCCCTGAAAACCATACAGGGTCTAATTATGACCAATTAACAAGGGGCGCGTGTGATCAACCCATGAGACTCGACACTCCCCTGTCACTTATGCTGGCAAAATGGGCGAAATTCCCAAAACGCTCATTGCACTTGATGCCATATGAGTGCTGACTACTGATAACACAGAAGCCGCTGTGGACCTGGGAAAAGTGGTCCAGATTCTCCATGATGCCTTAATGAAACATGTTATTTCATTTTTGGTTATGCAGCCTCATTTACAAAGGGGTCAGGGGAGGTTTTGTTTGGAGGGGATCAAACACTCACTTGCACAACATCAGTGATCACTGACATAGTCTGCCAGGGACCCTTGGACCCTGAGGTAACTGAGCAATCTCCATACTGGGTTGTTTTTGTGCTGTTTACACAGCCTTGGGTCTGGTTACTGATTGTGTGGGTCTACGATAAGGAGGCGGCCTGCGTGGACCTGAAAAGAATGCAAATCACCAGTGTGTTTCAGCAAAGCACAAACACCAGCAAACGCGTATGCACAAAACACACAAACACCAGGAAGTGTGTCTACGCATAACAAGCACCAGCGAGTGTATCTGCACAAAACACAAACACCACTGAATATGTTTGTACACACGTCAGCAAGTGTGCCTACACAAAACACAAACACCAATGAGTGTATTTGCACAAACACCAGGAACCAGGTGCACAAACACATGCTCTGTTCACATCTCCCTGGGCCTCGCAGCAGAACTACACCCTAACAGACACAGGCTCTGGCAGAATCAGCCCAGACTCAATGCTCACATAAATGAAAAAGTGGTTAATGTTCACTTCATCAGGCTCATTCTCCTCTGTGAGTAGTCAGGTCAGCTTCAGCACTGGGGGTTTCAGACCCCCCTCTCCTCTGTGAGTAGTCAGGTCAGCTTCAGCACTGGGGGTTTCAGACCCCCCTCTCCTCTGTGAGTAGTCAGGTCAGCTTCAGCACTGGGGGTTTCAGACCCCCCTCTCCTCTGTGAGTAGTCAGGT